AGAAGAAGAAGAAGAAGAAGAAGAAGAAGAAGAAGAAGAAGAAGAAGAAGAAGAAGAAGAAGAAGAAGAAGAAGAAAAGGAAGAGGAAGAGGAAGAGGAGGAAGGGTAAGGACAAGGACAAGGAGAAGAAGAAAGAGAGGAAGAGGAGGAGAAACAAAGGAGGTAGAGAAGTAAAACAATAGCAACAAAAACCAAAACCAAAACCAAAAGCAAACAAAACTTCAGAAAACCTAAGACAACAATATCATCATCACCCCCAACAACAGAAGCCTAAACGCTGTGTTTCAAAAACCTATCTGACCTTGGGAAAGAAGAACATGTTGGTGAGCTTGGCGTCCAGCTCAGCCGGGTAGCTCTTGGACATCTGCACCAGCTTGAGCCTCTCCCGACGGCTGTCCCGGCCCCTCCAGAACGCCTTGCTCGTCTTGTTCGTCCACTTGGGCCCCGTGTTGGCCTGAACGGAGAACATGTCCAGCGAAACTCTGTGGGATAGATAGGGGAGACATGATTGTGGGCGTAAATTATAATACTACCATGACGTCTTTTTATAGGAGTGTTGGATAGATGAAGATAGGTGAACAAGAAATGGCGCTCATATGACCTTAATATGCTGTTGCGAGCGCAGTAAAACCTCTACTAAAACTAAAACATGAACAAGAACAGGAAAAAAGGTCTAGAGGTAGACCAGGATGAAGATGGCATGACGACACCAAAGGGCAGATGGGTATAACCACAGAGTTTTACAGTAATACAGTAAACCCTCTCTGGTATAACCTGGACAAAGACAACAGCTGATATATAGCAGAGTGGACGTAGTTGTTTGGGGTGGGGGTGAGGGCTACAACCTGCAGTGGATGAACAACGTCGAGTTAAGAAAGGTGGGACAGATGGGGAGACATGACTGGACGCAAATAATACTATGTCTTTTTGAAAGAATGTGAGATTGGTGGGGGAGACATGACTGGTCGTGAATGTTTTTTTAAAGGAATAATATGGGATAGGTGGGAGGAAAGACATGACTGTGGGCGTTTAAAATGTCTTTTGAAGGAATGTGGGACAGTTGAGGAGACATGACTGTGGACTGAAATACTATGTCTTTTTGAAGAAGTGTGAGATGGACGGGGAGACATGGTCGTTGGCGTATCATGTCTTTTTAAAGGAGAGTGGGATAGATGGGAAGGCAGGTGTCTTATTGAAGGAGTAGCGCTTGCTCAAATGAGGGTGGTTTTAGTTTTAGTAAACGTTTTACGGCACTTGCAACATAAAATTGTCATATAAGTGCTAAAGATTAGGGGTGTTACTTGATAGAGTAACGTATAAAGAAAAGAAGGAGGAGAGATAAGGCGAAATATGTTTGATAGGAGATTAGGAACAAGCCACAACAGAGCATCCATCAACCACATATTATTATTATGAGTGTAGATAGATTAGATATCTACTACAAACGAGCTCAAACGTTCTCGAAATAATAACCACCAGCAGGACCAAAATAGCCTCATGCATAACATTTTATTTCGAAAAAAACTAAAGCTTACATTTGTCGTAGTCACAACAAGCAAAGAACTCTCACAGTAAACGGAACAATATTATATGTCTAATATGGCTTTCTCAGCATGGATAAGAACTTGACAAATCCTGACTCTGCCGAGCGTTTCCCTGCAGAGAAATTGTGATATTATATTACCCAGACCTTCCACTTGTCTATGTTCTCCCAGCAAACTGTACAACTACAGAGCTTTACAATAATTAATGACCTCTACACACCACACACTGGTGCGCGGCCGTTCTTTGTCTTTCTGTTAACCCCTTCACTGTTTGACCCGAGTTGTAACGTCGGCCACCTGGTTCAGATGTTATAAGCCTAAAATGATCTGTATTTTTAAAATTTTCAGTTTTTTTAGTCTAAGGCGTTAATTGGAGCTGTGTACTCAAGTGTATGAGGAGCTACTGATTTTCGCACCTCCCCCGCCCCTCCCAA